TCATCCTAATGTCACCTTCATGCTTTGCATATTGATACATACTGAATTTCTATACCACTATTACTGTTATAAATGAGTATTTTTAAAAACAAAAATAATTGCTGTTTGTTGGATACTCGAAAAAGAGGAGGTTCTGGGTGCTTTCCGCAGTTTATCTAATTTAACCCTTACACTGATGCTATAAGCAGTCACTATCACTGCATTTCTGTAACCTTTGACAGGTAGGTGTTCTTTTTCCCCTTATCTTAAGTTTTCTTTTAACTATGTGCTTTCTAAATTTTAAGTTCATTCTTATTTAAAAACTGAAAAAGAATGCTAGCCTTTTTGTCAAGTGTTAAATATATACTATCTCTCTCTTTGAACAGGCCTGAGATTCCCCTACCCATTTTATAGCAAGCCTCAGAAACTTCTGGACTTTAGCTTCCCTCATGGTATTCTTTGAATGTCTACATATGAATTCTGTTTAGAGGTCAGCACTAAAGGAAATAAGGCAGGGGACAAAGGAACATTTTCTCTTTGGTGTCAATGCAACATAGGAGGACTAGCATCAGTAATTCAGATATGGCAAACAAATCATCTAGGTTGTTTTCAGAGCTCCTTTCTATAAACAACTTCTTATAAGATGAAGAGTCATTCAACAGATATATAGTAAACCTGGTATAACAAGCCACAATGCTCTGTAGAGGATGAAGATGGCCTTGCCCTTCACCGAGTGTGCAGATTAGCTAGAGGTAGAGAATTAAAGAGCTATTTGTAAGCAGGTGCGATGGATGTTTTTTATAAATGCACAGAAGTGCAGGGTGCTGTAATAGCATGTAACACAAGTACCTAACTTTGTGAAGGGGACTCATTTTCTGAAATGACATTGAAATTGAGATTGAAGGGTTTGTATTACTTAGGAAAGAGAGGGGATGTCTTAGTCGGCTCTGGCTGCCATAACAGAATACCAGATCGAATGTCTTAAACACTAGAATTTAATTTTCTCACAGTTCTGGAGATGATCTGGAAGTCCAAGATCAAAGTGCCAGCAGGGTTAGTTTCTGGTAAGGTCTCCCCATAGACATCCACCTCGCTGTGTCCTCACAGAGCCTTCTGTGTGTGTGGAGGGAGTGGGTTGGAGAGGGAGTGCAGAGCTCATGCTCTAATGTCTCTTCCACTTCTTAGAAGGATACCAGCCCTGTTGAATTTAGGGCCTCGCCCTTTCTCGACCTCATTGGACCGTAATGACCTCCTTAAAAGCCTTAGCTCCAAATGTAGTCACACTGGGGGTTGGGGCTTCAAATTGGTGGTAGACACGTTTCAGTCCATAACAGGGGAGGGGGAGAGTGTTCCAGGTAGGGCGAGTAGTTCAGGAAGACATGTAGAGGCAGGAAAGTGAGGAGGTTTGAGCATGAGGTGCATAGAGTGTGAGGGCCGTGCTGAAGGCTGAGGTAGCAGGAAGTGACGCCCTGGCTTGAACTCTTTCCAGAGCAAGAAATCTTGTGTACTTCACTTATCGTTTTAAACTTTGATATTATAAAAAGAAGTCTGGATTAAGAGTAAAAGATCTAGAGCATAATAACTGAGACCTTGGGCAAATCATTTGTTTGGAGCCTCAGTTTCTTCAACATAAAAACAGGAGTTATAACCCTTAACTTCCTGGCTTGTTGGATTAGATGAGGCATTAACTGTGAAATGTCTTAGAAAACAAAAACTGTATAATTATTGAGGGTTTTTAAATCATTCATCAAATCAACTAGTTTTTCCTACAAAAACTGCATGAATTTGTTAGCCCTCCGTTTTGTAACTCACACACTCAAGGCCTTGCATGGACCCGTGGTCCTCTCCATAGCTCTTATAGCACCCCTCAGTCCAATATTTACTGTTTTCCCCTCTAAAACAAATTAGGCTCTTCTTGGAGTTAAAAAAAAAACAAACAAAAGTCATGCCACTCTTTTTGAAAAAATGTTCCTGTTGATCCCAAGTATCTTATTTCTTCTGTCCCGTATTTGTCCTGCTTAAACAGAATTATTTTCTGCTGTGCTTCTCTACCTCCCACACCACCACAAGGACTAACTAGTACCTTTCTCAGCTCCTGGGACACTTCCTGCCATCGTTCACATAAGCTCTGAAATTCTGCCTTTATACACTAATTTTCGAACTGACTCACAAGTGGTGATTTTCACTGGAACACATCACTTTATTTTTCATCACACCCAAGTGTCTTGTTATTTTATGCAAAATATGCAGGTACTTAATACCTTTATATATGTATTTGTGAGGTAGTATGATGAGTATTTTTTTTGTACACATCAGAAATTTGACTTAAGTCAGTATGGGCCCTTGAGAAGTTATATAATTTGCATCTGTGAGATTTTATATTCCTCATTTCCCATGACTTTTATTTTTTTAAAGCCCTCTTCAATTCCTTATATATTGAAATAATCCAGGAAACTAGAAAAAAAGAATAAAAAAATGTTCATAAGGAAATGAGACTTATTGAAACATTTACACAATTTATCAGGTGTTCATATTTTCTCTTTATGTGGCTTTTGCTTTATTTGAACAGAAGCCTGACCAGGTCATCATAGAAGTATGTTTCCTAGCATTTAATTAATATTATAGAAGAAGTTGCTCTTAATTGTAGCAGTAGCACAGAATTTAAATTGCTTTCCAGGATAGAAGGGAGAATTAAGACAAAACAGATAATGGTTCCTGAGGCTAGAAACAGACCCAGTCCCCAAGCTCCTCCCAGTTACCTTTTATTTATTTTCAATCTTGCAGCAGTATGACCATTTGCAGTAAAGTCACAGAGTTCTTTTCATGAGAAGACAATCAATATAAGTAATCATTTAAGGATGAAGGTGGCCAAACTGTGATCGACACTAGTACTTGAAATACTTGTAAAAAAAACATGAGTTGGCTTTGCTTAAATTTCAGAAAATAAAATGTTAGTACACATAAACATATTATCTCTCAGCATTGAAAACTTCTCATCTATAATTTATCTGCTTGCTAAGAATAAGTGTTATTAAAGGTTTATTGATTTTTTTTTTTCCAGAAAGAGATTTAATGCATAAGACTATTCCGTTTTTCCATCTGTGCTCTCTACACCACCACCTAGTGGAGTAAATGCAAGTTGACCGGTCAATTAAAGTCAGGGGAAGGAAATGAATAAGATGAAATGTATCCCACAACGAAGTTTCCATGATGATGTTATTGCTTTTAGTAAAATGCAGGTTGTGAAAAATACATGAGTTTAGAGTGAAAAAAGTCCAGACATTTGTGTGGTATCTAATAAAATGCTTATCAGTTTGTCCACAAATAAGCTATTTTATTCAGAAACTTAGAAGCTAGATAAATCACTGAGGCTTTGTGCTGCAGATTGGATTTCTAAGTTATGTTGGGAAGCTTCTCTTTATTACTCAATATGAGGGTCCAGAAACATTTTCTTTTTAAGTATTAAGCTTCAGAGCTCCTCTGATAAGAATCATTGTGTTTACTTAACTAATAGGGTTCATAAAAGTGTAGAGGTAAGTTAGTCAATTTTTATCAAAGCTGGGAAGAAAGACAGGTATGTATTATTATTCTGAAGGTTTTTCTCCCAAACAATGAAATTAAAAAAAAAAAAAAAAAGGCAAATGAAGCTTTAAGGCTTTTCACTCTTTACTGGTAGGGGAGTCCTGTTTAGCCCCAACTAAGAACAAATCCAAACAAGTAAAAAACCAGAACCTGTTGTTTCTTGCTGACTGTGGCCATCCAGGCCTTTCTTGGTCTCATGTTCACGTGGAATGCAAATGGAATCATCTTCCCATTTTCTGAGGGTTGCGTGCCTTTCAGATGGCATCAGTGTGCACATATACAAATCCATTTTTTATGCCCATGAATATTTTACCTACCTGATTTTTGATGATCTGGGCATAGGTAGTGAGTGAGGGCCTTGGGCAAATGGGTAGTAGAGGGGAGATAGAATGAAATTCAGAAAGAAAAAAAAAATCCCCAGACCCACCTTAGCCAGTTCATCAAACAAAACAAAAGCCACACAATCAGCTGGAGTTGAGTCTCTTCTTCTTCTTACCATGACAGACTCTTACCACCATCTAGTCAGACAGGACTCTGCTGAAGACTGGACATAAGCACTTTATATCCTGAGACTGTCATTGTAATAGTCCTGGACTTGTTTTCTTATTCCTGCTGGTCTTGAATCGCATAGAATAGCACAGTGGCCTTTTTTGTTTTTATAATACACAACCCTCAAAGCTTTCAGTCTTTCAGTTTTCCTCCTTAGTAAACAACTGAGTAATTACTTATAGCTGTTTTGTGCTGGAGACAACATAGTTTTGCATGGTTAGCTTATGATTTCACAGTGTTTGTGGGGAAAGACCATGTTCTGTCGTTGTCATTCATGACACAGATTCCTGCATCCTTCATCCTCTGGCTTTTGGGGGGAATATTGATCTCATCTGGTATCTTTGCCTCTAGTAACGCTCCGCTCTTGCTGTCTGCTGTCTGTGACCGGGAGGTATAGTAATGGCACACTCACCTATACTCACCACCTGCGGGAGGCCCTGGCATGTCTTGAAGTGGTTAGTAATCTGTGAACACAGAAGGGGAAGTTAGAAAAGCAAATATTGCATTTCCTCTCCAAAGATGAAGATCATGTCTGGGTTCTTCCCTTTTTCAATTCCCAATCAATGCAAGGTGTTTTATAGGTGGTTGTCAAAAATATATTTCTCCTCTCGCCCTCCTCACAAAAAATTGTGACAAATTTGCTTTTCCCCTAAAATCATAACTCAGAAGGCAAAGCAAGATGAATTCTCAGCACAGCAAGATGAATCCTCAGCACTCCTTTCTTTGTGTTTTCTTAAAAGACCATCTGGCTTTGTGTAACTCAGCTTGAGAAGGAACAGCTCCTGTGCTTTAGACAGCGACTCTGGGAGATAGTTACAGATCTATTCTAGACTTGAAGACTGGTGTCTACATTTAAAGTAACAGGTGTATGTACTTTTACTCTATTGCAGCCTTCTCTTGGAGTCAAGAAGCCTACCAAAGCCCTGCTCTTTGTAATCTTGAGCCCAGTGGGACCTTATTTTTCAAGTGGAACCTTTAAGCCAGTGTCCCTGTGGGCCAATCCGAAGTACGTGAGAGCCTGGAAAGGTGGGACTGGGGACTGCAAGATGGGAGGGTAAGTGAACATTAGTTTCTGTCTAAAGGAAAGAGTCCCTCACAGCCATTGAGTTGTGGCCATCTCAAATCAGTCCAAGTACATATGTTAATATTCAAGTTGAAATGCCCTTTTTTTGTTTTGTGTTTACTCTTCAGTGTTAAATTGGGCTAGTTCAGGTGCACCTGGGTGGCTCAGTCGGTTAAGCATCTGCTGTCGGCTTCGGTCATGATCTCGGGGTCCTGGGATCCAGCACTACATCAGGCTCCCCGTTCAGCAGGCGGAGTCTGCTTCTCCCTCTGCCTCTGCCCCTCCCCCCCCGCTCGTGCTGTGTCTCTCTCTCTCTAATAAAATCTTTAAAAAAAAAAAAATTGTGCTAGTTCAAAGGATAACCTGTGACCCTTTGAAGGGAGAACCATCGAATGTGATGGAGAGGCAAGAACTGAAATAAGTAACTAAACCAGGAATAACATTAGTGCTTTGAATTCACAGCCTCTGGAGGCTGGTGCTCTGGCTGCAGGCGGACAGGGGGCCTTAAAGAGCATCTGCTGCTGGGGCCGAGGCTCTCTGTTGTCTCCAAGGAGTCCTGCCTGGGGAAGGTGCCCGCTTCACTCAAGCGCTGTCTTCATTGCCACAGATTGTAGGCATACCTGCTGCCAGCTGGCTGAGGGACAGCCCTGCTTTGGCTCTGTCAGGCTGGTCTCATTGGCCATATGTAGCTGGCTGGAAATAAAAGAGCATTTGAAAAGTGTTAGACAATTTCAGCGGTGGACTTGGCCATGATAGGAGAATGCCCCTATGGGTGAGCAGGAATAGCCACATTAACCAGGGGGCTCTTCCTTCGTGTACCTCGAGTACTGATATGTATCACATATGCAGGCAGCTTACTGGGAGGTGATGCAATGGCAGCTTCTGGGCTCGGGGAACACATGCAGATTCAGAGAGCCCTGGGAGTATCGGGGGACGTGCCTCTAGGGTGTGGGAGAGACGCTGACAGCTAGCTTTGAACCCTCTGGAGTCCTTCTGTATTTTCTTTTTCTTTTCTACCCGCCCCCCGCCCAAAAAGGGTTAGAACATTCTGGGTCCTGTCCTCACTGCATTTGTAGCAGCCGCATTCTCTCAGTAGCTAGAGAAATCCTAATGAAGTCCATTAAACCAAGAAGTCCCTTTCTTTCCCTTTTGGCGTGGAGCACTCCCTCCTGACTATGTGCTGTGCTAGTCAGGTTGAAATGACTACTCTTGTGCATTCTCTTGATATCTTTTTCACCTGTTCAGACTTCTTCCAGAGCATATGCACTCCTGATACCATATGTATCACTTTGTTAGAACTTCCCCTAGAGTTCACGTTCCAGTAAATCAGTCTTGAAGAAGAGGTCATAATAAGCTAGTTTTTCCTCTTTCAATCTTACGTTCCAACTCCCCTCTACCTGCCCAGGGTAAAGATCACATGGGGACATTGAGAAATTGCAGGGAAATCTTTAGTTTTAGTGCTGGGGATAGGTTGTTACTTATTATAAAGATGATATAATGCAGTATCAACGGAATACATGGTCACTAGAGGCCAATTAAAAACCGTTCTTTTCTGTACAACACAAAGAGTGAACCCTAATGTTACTATGGACTTCAGTTAATAGTAGCGTGTCAGTGTTGGCTCATCAGTCATGACAAGTGAACACTAACGTGAGAGGTTCATAGGGGAAACTGAAGCGGGAGATAGGGCATAGGGGAACTCTTTTTGCTTACTTCTTCTGTAAACCTAAAACTGCTTTAAAACAATAGAGTCTATTATAAAAAAATTAATACTTTGACTCATTAGGCTTAGATGGACCATGATCAATGGAAGTTGGTGTGAAGTCTCTTAGAGAAGAGAATATAGGATCTTATAAATAAAAGCAGAAATGACAATTGGGAAGGCAGTAACCCGAAGGGTGGATTTTAGCCAAAGAAGTGCAAGGGAAACATAAGATTCTTCATTTAGTATCAACCTATTTAGTTGGCAAAGACATTTGGCAGCCCCCTTAGATTTTATTATTGCTTCTTCTCTAAAGCAATTAATTCAACGATTACCTTCCAAGTTTTTTAGGACCTCTAGAGTCAACTGGCATTTATTAAATAGCTATTGATTCTCCTCAGCTCAAGGAGATTTAACTGCTTTCTCAGTAAATCTGAGGAAGAGAGAGAAGGATTTTCTTTTTTATTCTAAAATTATTCCACTTTTTTGAAAGCCATCAGAGATAATATTATTCTGTTATATCTAAATATGCATAAGTGAGAAAAGTAATACAATGGCACACAGCTGAAGGAGAGTTCTAGCACAGTGGGTCTCACCTGTGGTTACAAATTGAAATCAGCTTTACCAACTACTCCTCTCTGGGTTCCACAGCGAGAGCCTAAGCATCAGAATTTTTTAAAAATTTTTATTTAAATTCAAGTTAGTTAACATAGAGTGTATTATTGGTTTCAGGGGTAGAATTTAGTGCTTCATCAATTGCATATAACCCCCAATGCTCACTTTGTCAAGTGCCCTCCTTAACGTCCATCACCCAATTACCACATCTCCCCACCCACCTCCGCTCCAGCAACAATTTGTTCTCTATAGTTAAGAGTCTCTTATGGTTTGCCTCCCTCTCTTTTTTTATCTTCTTTTATTTTTTCTTCCCTTCCCCTATGTTCATCAGTTTTGTTTCTTAAATTCCACATAAGAGTGAAATCTTATATTTGTCTTTCTCTCCCTAACTTATTTCACTTAGCATAATACCCTCCACATCGTTGCAAATAGCAAGATTTCATTCTTTTTAATGGCTGTGTAATATTCCATTGTATTTATATACCACATCTTCTTTATCCATTCATCAGCCAGTGGACATCTGGGGTCTTTCCATATTTTGGCTATTGTGGCCATTGCGGCTATAAACATTAGGGTTCATGTGCCCCTTCGAATCACTATTTTTGTATCCTTTGGATAAATACCTAGTAGTGCAGTTGCTGGGTCATAGGGTAGTTCTATGAGCATCGGAATTTTTTAATGTGAAGCCAAAGTTGAGAAGCACTGAGTTAGAAGAAGATCTTTCATCATCTTAACATCTTTATTCCCAATTTGTTAGTTTCATTATTAATATGGAAAGAATTGGCCCTGCCCCCACTCTAAATTAATTAATTAATTAATTTTTACTCTCATTGTGTACTTGGAATACAAGCTTTGAAGTCAGATAGACCTCGCTTAAAAACCTTACTGTCCTGGGATGTTACTTGACTGCTTTAAGCCTCAGTTTCTTCATTTATGAAGTTAGGGCAGTAATACCCAGCTCACCTATGAGGATGAGCAGGATAATATAAAGTGCCTAGGACCGTGTGGTTGGCCTATAGAAAGTTGCCAATACATGTGGTGCTATAACCTAGCAGTTAACAGCATGGGCTTGGCAGTCAGAGACATCTGCGAGTCCTACACTTATATCTGTGTGATCTTACATAATTAAGTACCCTCTTTCTCTAAGTCCTCCAAAGTAGAATAAAGTCTAGTTTTGTTTTAAGATGATTCAGTGAAATAATGGACTTAAGTACTCAGTACCCTGCCTGGCAAGTACTAAGTATCCTCTCAGGAGACAACAGTTGATACTGTGAGGCTTGCTTGCTTTCTCATTTCATCTCCTGGACACCCTGCCTTAGGAGCAATCAGTTGGACTTCACACAATAGAATTTACTCTTTTGGACAGATGTATTTAATATATCTTCTCCCAGATTTTTAATCCATGTACAATTAAAATTTTTCTGTGTAGACAGTTGTCCAAATTTTTCATTTTTCTCTTTCTCCCAAGGACATGTGTTTCTTTTCTGAATATTGGTGGCACTTGGGAGGGAACCCCAATATATTATCAAAATATTAATGACCCTGAGGATGTTAATAATACAGTTTATGCCTGGGAGAGAATTTTGAGGAAAAACTCATTGAGGGAAAAACACCATCTATAGAATATAGTAATCAATCAATCAGATAAGCACCAAACAAATAAAAACCCTTTTTCTTTCAATATATTGAAAGGGTTGAGGTCTTTAATTCTCTTTCTTGCCCAAATAGCTTCATGATGCTAAGGAACCATGGTTTTAATTCAGCTAACATTCTCAAAAGTGTGTATGTGTGTGTTTTTAGAAACTTCTTGGAAAGGCTAGTTATTCATGCTGTGAAAATTTTCTTTTTAATAAAGAGCATTTTATGAGAGAAATCATTTATTTTCACATATGGTAAAGTCTCAATGGCTATGTCTATGAACTAGGCAAAAGTCAATTGAAATTGAATAGTTATTTTTTAAAGATTTATTTATTTATTTATTTGTTTGTTTATTTGAGAAAGAATGAGAGAGAGCATGGGGCGGAGGGTCAGAGGGAGAAGTAGACTCCCTGCTGAGCAGGGAGCCCCATGTGGGACTTGATCCTGGCACTCCGGGATCATGACATGAGCAGAAGGCAGTCTCTTTTTTTTTTTCTCTTTTCAAATTTAATTTTATTATGTTATGTTAATCACCATACATTACATCATTAGTTTTTGATGTAGTGTTCCATGATTCATTGTTTGTGTATAACACCCAGTGCTCCCTGCAGAACGTGTCCTCTTTAATACCCATCACCAGGCTAACCCATCCCCCACCCCCCCTCCCCTCTAGAACCCTCAGTTTGTTTCTCAGAGTCCATAGTCTCATGGTTCGTCTCCCCCTCCGATTCCCCCTGCTTCAAATAATACATTATATGTTAAATACATTATATGTTAAAAAAAAAAAAAAGAAGGCAGTCTCTTAACCAACTGAGAGCCACCCAGGTGCCCTAGAATAGTTATTATTTTTTTAAAAAACTTAATTTTATTAGGATATAAGAGGCTCACATACACTGTTTCTTAGCTTTTATTGTTATTGTTTCATTTTTTCCAAATAGCCCTATGCAGTGTATAAAGCAAGTATTTGTATTTGCCAGATGAATTTGTTAAGGCAAAAATATGAACTGACTTTTACTTAAGTGCACACATAGCCAAATAGTAGAAGCTCAAGAGCTGTACTTCGGTCTGCTGGCCCCAAACCCATGCTCTTTCTATTGGACTCTCCCCTAAAGTCTCATTTATCCTCATTATTAAAAAGTATTCATAATTTTAACTCTGTTATTGCTTATTTAACATTAATTCTTAATCTGGGCGGTCCAACTTTTTATGGTCATCAAACAAAAGCCTCCTATATAAAGAATTGTATCCTCTCTAGATTGTCTGGTAATTTAGATTTTATTATCTGCATTTTGAAGGTCTTTTTTTTTTTAAGATTTATTTATTTTATCAAGAGAGAGAGTGCGCACGAGCAGGGGGGAGAAGCAGAGGGAGAGAGAATCCAAGCAGACTCTGCACTGAGTTTGGAGCCTGACATGGGGCTCAATCCCACGACCCTGAGATCACAACCTGAGCCGAAATCAAGAGTCGGACACTCAACTGACTGGGCCAACTAGGTGCTCCGTTTTGAAGGTCTTTTAATGAATCTTACGTTACCTTGATGTGAATAAACTCAAGACCCATGTTGCTATAGCCATATAATATAATGCCTCTTTCCCATAGTTTTTCTAGAATGTTTTAGTTATTAGTCAATATTCTTTGGGTTGCAAGTCAGAAAACCAACTCAAGGGGTGCCTGGCTCACTCAGTCAGTGGAACGTGTGACTCTTGATCTTGGGCTTGTGGGTTCAACCCCACATTGGGTGTAGAGATTACTTAACAATTAAAAAGATATTTAAAAAAAGAAACCAACTCAAACCATCTTAAGCAGAAAATGAATTGAGTGGTTCATGTAAGTAGGATGGTAGCGATGGACCCTCTAGGGGCTCAAATCACTGTTGCTAAGTTTCTTTTTTCTTTTTTTATTTTTTTAAAGATTTTATTTATTTATTCATGAGAGACAGAGGGAGAGAGAGAGAGGGAGAGAGAGAGAGAGAGAGAGAGAAGCAGAGGGAGAAGCAGGCTCCCAAGGAGCAGGGAGCCTGATGCGGAACTCGATCCCAGGACCCTGG